ATATATTTTTAAAATATCATTCCTACATCATCATCAATTTACAAGTGTCATACAATATTTCCTATAATTTTTCATAATTTTTAAGGTTTTAAAATTGATTTTTTTGCATTTAAATTATTTAAATATGTATTAATTACCTCTCTAAATTATTTTTGGATGACCTAATCATCCAAATTTATTATTTGCATCCACATATATATTTTATAATATTTTACCTCATTTTCATATAATAATATTTGTATTTATATTTTTAGCTATTTACACAATTTTGTAGTAATAGCCTTTTTTTGGCAAATCCTTTAGGAATTGTGCCTAGGGCTAGTTTTTATAATTATCTAAAGCAAGAATACAATTTCACGAAGTGAAATAAAAGGTGCGAAATAAGCCTTTGAAAATACATACCCTATTATCACTTTTGAGTATTGTACTCAATAGTGATATTAAATGATGTATTCTAAATAAGCTTAGTAAAAATACATTAAGGACGAGGCAGAAAAACTCTTCAAAATTGAAGCCCGTGGAAGTTCTTCGCATTTTGCACAAATCTCCATTTCCTTTTTGTATTACTGGCCATGAACTTGAATCTACAAAGTTATGTTGTTTTCCTTGTTGCTTTGATGAATTATATTCCAATGATGCTGCTACATTTTCTCTTGCCCAAGCTAGGTTCTCTTGTTGTATCTTCTCATCCTCTTGCAATTCTGATCTTCCATACCAGCTGCCACTCAGTATGCCCTGTATTTGCAGGTTTGAGCACGTTGTAATGTATTTGTCGCATCTCTCTTTGCCACTGCCCATTGCTTCCTTTTTCCTTTTGCTTTTCCTACCTCTGTCGAAGCCTGTAGGGAGGTGTGACATGTTCCTTAATGTGTTGTACTTGGACAGTGTTTCACAGATGCCATAGCTGCGCGATAAGCTTCCTGCCCAAACATCTCGCCAGCATCCTCAACTCCTGTTTTATTTGAATTTTATCATGTGAAAATGTAGCTTTGTCCCTTGATTCCCTCCACTTCCAATTTGCTCCAAACAATTGTTTCCAGGGGTGGATCCACGGTATAAAATGTGGTTCACGTGAACCCGTGATCCTCGGGTTAAAGTATATTTATCATGTACATAATTTGGAAAAACTACATATGATATTTAATGAAACCTATGGTCAAAAGAGGCAAAGTGGTTCATTGGTTTTGGCCCCTTATTTCCACCAGCCTAAGGTCAAGGGATCAAATCCCACTACCAAATGTTTTATTTAATTTTTTTCTTAAATATTTCTTTTCTTTCTATTTCTACTAATGTAACTTTCATTTTTGTTCTTTAAATCACTAAAGCAATCAATTCCCATGCAAATTCGCAGTTCCCACACGCCTGAAGTTTACTCGATTTCCCATCCCGAAAAGGTGCACCCATCTTCTCGAAATTCTAGATCCGCCTCTGATTATTTCATGTGATTCTTCTTAGTGAACCTCCTCTTGTTTGTTTTCTTCAAATACTTGTTGTGATCATGTCTTTGCCTTTCATGAGCATTTACACCATAAGACGTCACTGCCCAGGTTTGTATCACAATTCTGGGCATCTGGTATTTGAATAGTGAAGGTGTCATTCAAATAGAAAACAACAGACTTAAAGAGGAAAAAAAGATATATTTTATTAAGCTGAAAGAAGCTGCTTAAATACACCAGAAATCCTAACTGAATAGCAGTAAAAAACTGAAACTTCCTAATATGATGGAACTAATCCACCAACTTCTTCATGCCTAAAGACTAGGAAAATCACAACTGAAAAATCTTAAGACTAGGAAGTCTACAACTAATAATATCCAGAAAATATCTAACTTATTCTCTGCAATTTAAAGGACACATCAGCAGCTTAGTCATCATGCCAACTCAGCGTCAAACTAACAGCTCATGAGGCATAATTCAACACTCCTCCTTGCATCAAGAGCTGTAAATCCCAAGTTTGGTTCTCAAGAACTCAAATCTGCTTGCTGGAAGAGCTTTTGTAAATATATCAGCCACTTGCTCTTCTGTTTTACAATACACCAGATTCACTTGACCATTCTTTTGCACTTCTCTAAAAAAATACAGCTTCACATTAAAATGTTTGGTCTTTCCATGAAATACTGGATTGTGTGAAATAGCAATAGCAGCTTGGTTGTCTACAAAAACTTCAGTGCTTTCTTCATTCTCCAGGCCTAGGTCACATAAGATTTTCTTTATCCACAAAGCTTGATTAGCAGCAGCTGAAGCAGCAACGTATTCTGCCTCTGTAGTTGACTGAGCGACAGTCTCTTGCTTCTTCGAACACCAAGAAAAACAGCCTGAGCCAAAACTAAAACAGTACCCTGAGGTACTTTCATATCTTCAATAGAACCAGCCCAATCACTGTCAGAATATCCTTGAAGTTTGAAATTCTTGCACTTGCTGAATCTGACTCCATAATCTATTGTACCTTTGACATACCTGAGCACTCTTTTTGCAGCTTTCGCATGAATTTCACTTGGAGAATTCAAAAATCTGGATAGTACATTTACAGCATACAATATGTCTGGTCTTGTTGCTGTAAGATACATCAGACATCCTATCAAGCTTCTGTAGCTTCCTTCTAGTACGCGTTCAGCACCATCCTCCTTCATCAACTTCTCCTTTTGATTCATAGGCGTGCTCATACTTTTGCAGTCTTCCATTCTAAATTTCTTTAGAATTTCCTTCGCATACTTTCTCTGACAAATGAATATCTGATCTTAGCTTTGTTTAATCTCCATTCCAAGAAAGAAATCCATCTCTCCAAGATCTGTCATTTCAAAAACTTTCATCATCTCTCTTTTAAACCCTTCAACAAGCTCAACATTACTTCCTGTTACCAAAAGATCATCAACATATAGAGAAATAATCACAATGTCAGAGTTAGTATGTTTTATGTAAAGAGTTGATTCACTTAGGCTTTTCTGAAAACCTAAGGCAGAAAGATGATCATCAATTCTACTGTACCAAGCCCTTGGAGCTTGCTTTAATCCGTAGAGGGCCTTTTTCAGCAAGTAAACTTTATCTTCCTGACCTTCCACAACAAATCCTTCTGGTTGCTCAACATAGATTTCTTCTTGCAAGAAACCATTCAAGAAAGCTGATTTGACATCCATTTGGTAGATTCTCCAACCCTTTTGTGCTGCAATTGCCAAAAGGAGTCTGATTGTGTCGAGTCTTGCCACAGGTGCAAATGTCTCTGAAAAATCTACACCAAAAACCTGAGCGTAGCCCTTCACCACAAGCCTAGCTTTGTGTTTATTCACGGAGCCATCTGCATTTAGCTTAGTTCTGTAAACCCATTTAACTCCAATGATCTTTCTGTTTTGAGGTCTGTTAACCAGCTCCCAAGTGTCATTTTTCTCGATCATGGTCAGCTCCTCCTTCATTGCATCTATCCATTTCTTGTCTTTTTCAGCTTCGGCATATTCGGCAGGTTCAAAGACTGCGACATTGCATCTCTGATAAACGTCTGAAAGTGATCTGGTTCCTCTAACTGGAAAATCATCAATCCGCTCCTCAAAATTATGCAACTCAGCTTCCATATCCTGCATGTCTCCTTCCCAATTCCATTGCTTTTGTTCAACAAATTCTACATCTCTGCTTACCACAACGTTGAAAAATTCTGAAAGCTTTTGACACCAAACTATAGCCAATGAAAATTCCTGGTTCAGCTTTCTTATCAAGCTTATCCCTTTTCACCTGAGGTATGTAAGAAAAACATAAGCAACCAAAAATTTTTAAGTTCTTTAGGGAAGGTTTATACCCATGCCAAGCTTCAAAAGGTGTTTGACCATTCACTGCTTTTGTAGGCAGCCTATTCAACAGAAAAACAGCAGTATTGGCTGCCTCTGCCCAAAAACTTTTTGGAAGCCCTTTCTCGTGCAGCATACATCGTGCCATCTCCATAATAGTCCTATTCTTCCTTTCGCTTACTCCGTTTTGCTGCGGAGTATACGGAGCAGTAAGTTGATGCTCTATTCCAGCATCTTCAAGAAACCTTTTGAATTGATCTGAAGTGTACTCGGTCCTATTATCGGACCTGAGCACCTGTATTTTGCAGCCACTTTGATTTTCTACCAAGGCTTTGAAAGTTGAGAAAAGTGCAGCAACTCCTGTTTTGAACTTTAAAAAGTATATCCAACACATCCTTGTTAGATCATCAATAAAAATGATATAATACCTGCTTCCATTCAAAGATGGAGTTCTTAGAGGGCCTCCAATATCTGTATGAACTAGCTGCAGTTTTTGAGTTGCTCTCCAAGTTGATTTTGAGAAAGACAATCTTGTTTGCTTTCCAAATTGACATGCCTCGCAACTTGGAAGTTCTTCTTCAAGTGGAGGTAAACCTTTGACCAACTCTTTTTTGTGCATATACAAAAGAGCCCTGTGGTGAAAATGGCCCAACCTTTTGTGCCAAATACACGTGTTGGATACCAGACTTTGAAAAGCAACTTGTTCCTCCTCCTTTGGATCCAATGTGAAGCTTTTTTCCTTCATCTTTACTCTGAACACTTCTTGATCTTTGACGTCTTTAATAAGACACTTTTGATTTTCAAAGATCACCTTAAAACCCTTTTGCAATAGCTGTCCAACGCTTAATAAATTTTGATCAATTTCAGGCACATAAAGAACATCAGAGATAGTTTTAGTACCTGAGTAGGTTTCAAAAGCCAATGTTCCTTTTCCTTTTACAGCAATATAGTCACCATTGCCTATCTTGACTTTTGATGTTGCAGATCTATCAAGCTCCCTGAAGAGTGTTTCATCATTTGTCATGTGGTTAGTGCAACCACTATCGATCAACCAACTGTCGCTGGAACTGCTGCCCATAAAACAAGTTGCGACAAATAACTGCTCTTCTTCTTGCTGATTTGCAACCTGAGCTTCAGTTTCTTGCTGATTATCTTTGGACTTGCAAATTATTTCAGCATGCCCCAACTTTTTGCACTTTCTGCATCTCATATCCGGCTTTCTCTAGCATTAGAAGTGAGGGTGATTCTTCCTTACACAATGCTGACATGAAGGGAACTTATCTCCTTTGTTGCTGCTAGAGTTGTTGTTGCCTCCACCATTATTAGCAGCAACTTGATTGTTTCCAGCATGGTTCTTCTTTCCTTTTCCTTTCTTGTATCTGCTTCCGGCATTACTTTGCAACTTCGCCTGTAATGCACCTTCTACTGTCCCTTCTTCTCTCATTAACCTTCTCTGCTCTTGTGCCTGCAATGCATTTAGTACTTCTGCCAAGGTTATCTGTGACAGATCCTTAGTATTTTCTAAGGAAGCAATAGTGGGTTCAAACTTCTCAGTCAATGTTACAAGAATCTTTTCAACAACTCTGCTATCAGGAAGATTCTTACCCAACATTCTTACCTTATTCACAATGCTAAGAAGTCTGTCCAAGTATTCTTTGACAGTTTCGGATTCCTTCATTCTTTGCATCTCAAATTCTCTGATGAGATTCATCACTTTCATGCCTTTGATTCTCTCATCTCCTTGGTATTCTTCTTTAAGAAAATCCCAAATTGCTTTTGCTGATTCCAGCGCCATGACTCGGGAAAAAATGGTTGGTGAGATTGCAGCATATAAGCAAGATTTTGCCTTGAACTTCCTTGTCCTTTTTTCCTTGTGAAGTTTGATCTAAGCCATTGTTGGATTGCCAGGTAAACCAGGAATGTCGTAATCCTCCTCTACTGTATCGCAGAGATCACATGCCTCCATGTGAGTTTTCATCTTGATTGCCCATACCTGGTAATTCTCTCCATCAAACACTGGCAGCGGAATTGCAAAAGAACTAGTAGAGTTTTCAGATTCCATGTGTTATGATGGCTTTTCAGGGAAGTAGGTTGGCTTTTTGTTTCTCACTGAGACAACACTCACAAGTCACTCACAGGTCCCTTAAGAAAAAAGGGCTCGGATACCAATTTGAAGGTGTTATTCAAATAGAAAACAACAGACTTAAAGAGGAAAAGAAGATATATTTTATTAAGCTGAAAGAAGCTGCTTAAATACACCAAAAATCCTAACTGAATAGCAGTAAAAAACTGAAACTGAAACTTCCTAATATGATGGAACTAATCCACCAACTTCTTCATGCCTAAAGACTAGGGAAATCACAACTGAAAAATCTTAAGACTAGGAAGTCTACAACTAATAATATCTAGAAAATATCTAAGTTATTCTCTGCAATTTAAAGGACACATCAGCAGCTTAGTCATCATGCCAACTCGGCGTCAAACTAACAGCTCATGAAGCATAAGTCAACAAATACATGCTCATGTGTCTTACCCTTGTCATCCTTGAGTGGCTTGTAACTTTCCTTTAACAGACTCAAATTGGGGCATTGTATATTGCAGCTCCATTCTACCATTATCGTGCACACCTAGGGGCTGGGGCCAAAGTGAAGCCTGACTGGCATATTTATGATCATACCTGGGCACAGATTGTACCAAGTTTGCTGCTAGTGGCTTATGTTGTCGTGCAATCTCCAGATGTGTGTCTTCAGTTGATATGGCATATGTGTACTGCACTGCCTCGTTGGTTAGGTGCATACCTTGATCGTATCCATTTGGACTTATATACCACTGCACCTCATCTCGTTGCCATATCATGCTTGTGCACATTAGAGATTTCCCTTCCTGGGAATGAGCACAAATTATATTTGGTAACCCATGTTGTCGTTGGATGTTGAACTTGCTTAGCACGTGAAGTATCCTTACTGCCCAGTTTTTTGTACTTGACAACAATCTGCCAGTACTTCGAAAAATTGTGTGCTTGCATGAGTTATCATCCAGCGCAACCAACAACACCAGTGACTCGTACACCAAACCTATGTGCATTGTCCAGTTCTTGTGTTCCAAATTGTGCGCACAGCATGTATTGTTGTGACAGTGAATATGCCATCTATTTTTGAACATCGACCTACAAATCTTGAGGCAAAATTCCTCCAGTTGTGGTTCTTCATTTGTTGTGGCATTTGTTGAGTACACTGCCCTATGTCCCAGGTGTATATCATGTTCTAGTCTAGTTATAACTGTTTTTCTTAGTTGCATTTCATTTCCTTGCCAATTCATGCTTGTGCTCATCAGTTAATTCCCTTCATGGGAATGATTACATAGTAGTAATACCACCCATATAAGTTTAATCGCATGAAGAGGCATGGATTCAGTTATTTTTCCTGCAAAAAAAAAAGAAACCGATGATAGTCGTAAAATAGTGTACTATGATCTCATCCCATAGGCTTTGATCACAGCATTCAGTATTGTCTCCTCTCCACCTTCTGCTTTCCAGAGCATAGTTAGCTAGATTATCTTCTAAACTATTGCCCTCCCTCAAGATATGAGAGAACTCAATAACATTTTTGATCTCCTCAATATACTTAGCAACATTCCAAGAAGGTACACACTTCCCCTCTAACACATTCTTCATGAGCATGGAATCTGTTTGTAGCATAATTTGTATAATTCGATGGTCCACACAGTATCTCAATGCCTCCAAAATAGCTAGAGCTTCTGCCTCATTATTTTTAGCTTGTGGAATCTCCCTTCCTAACACAAAAATTACATCTCCTTCTTCATCTCTCAACACAAATCCTATAGAACTCCTTCCTGGATTTCCCCTGTTCACCCCATCTGTGTTGACCTTAATCCAACCTTCAATATGGAATTCCCAGATCACTTTTGTCACCTTCAAAGCTGGAGTATATTGTTCCGGTTTTTGTATCAAGTCAGGCCATTTGTGAGGCACGTTTTTCATACTAGGATTTCTTACTTTGACAAGGGATTGTAAGGTAGTAAAGACTTGATATATAACTACCCTGATTATCACCATCTCACCATACTTGTAGCTATTTCTTCTCTTCCACAACTCCCAAATTATGATCGGTGGTAGTGCTTGCATAATAGGTTGCAGTCGTGGTATGACAGTGGCAGTCCAGCACTTTACAATTGCTTGATGTAGATTCAGCCCCTCCATGCTAATACCTGCATTTGTTAGAAAATATGTCCATACTCTCGTTGCTGCGGCCCAAAGAACAAATGTGACAATGTTTCTTCATCTGTCTTAGCATAGTACCAACATCTGGATGGCATAAAGTATCCCAATCTCCTCATAAAGTCGTCTAAAGGAAGCTTTGATTTCCAGACTTTCCAAAGGAAGAATGAGATTTTAAATGGCAAACTTTTCACCCACATTTTCTTGTATGCCATCCCAGGTTCTTTCCTCCTCCTCAAATATTCCCAAGCAGTCCTGACTGTAAAGTTTCCTTCTGTTTCCAACATCCGGTAAGGTTTATCTAAGACCTCATGGCTGACTGGAGCTTTAGCATTTCCCAAAATATGAATTGCATATTCCTCTGGAAGTGATTCCATCAATTTATCAAAATCCCATGCTCCTCCTTCCACCACATCATAAACATTATTTATAGATTCATCAATCACAAAAACTGGAGGCATAAGAAAGTACAATGCTCCAAGACTAGTCCAATTTTCATACCAAAAGAGAGATGAGCCCATTTTTGTATGCCACCCTATTTGATGCTCAATATGATCCCTACATTCAAGCATCCTTCTCCATACATGCGATCCTTGTCTCCAAGGCACAATAATAGGGTTTAGTTTCTTACAATATTTTTGGCACATGAAAGAACTCCATAAGCTAGGCTTTGTTCTGAACTTCCACCATAGCTTACAAAAGAGTGCTTTGGCAGTATTATGTAATGACCTAAACCCCACCCCTCCTTCTTCACATGGCAGACACAATGTGTCCCAAGATGCCCAATGTCTACTTCTACCACCAATTGCACTACTCTAAAATAAATTGAGCGAACATTTTATACAGCTTAGTGATGACATAATAGGGAGGGTTGAATTGGCATGGTTTGTAACACATGTCATATCACTGTAGCTCTACCTCCAATAGATAACAACTTACCTTTCCATGACTGCATTTTGTCCATGACCTTTTTTATGAGACCTTCATAGTACTCCCTCTTCCTTCTAGTATAGAATATAGGGCAACCAAGATAGGTGAATGGAAAATCTTACTTGTTTATGCCTGTGATCCACTGGACCTTGTTCACCACGTCAACAGTAGTAGAGTGATGCTTGTAAACTGCAGATTTTGACTTGTTTATGATCTGACCTGATGTTGCCTCGTAGGCTGCCAGTACCTCCATCACCAATTGTAAAGATATTACACATGAAGAGGAGAATATTATTGTATCATCTGCATAGGCTAGATGATTTATTTTAGGACTCCATTTGGGCATTCCAAATCCACAAAATATAAATTTTGATGTAATGCATTCAAACCTCTAGACGATTGCCTCTGCAACCAAGATGAATAAAGTAGGAGATAGAGGATCCCCTTGCTTCACTCCCCTTGTGGATTTAAAGAAACCACACGGTTGTCCATTAAGTAAGATAGAGTACCAATTTTTTTTGATATGATGCCAAGAATCAAACCTATGAACCTTTCTCTAAACCCTATTTTCCGCAAGACCTTAGTCAAGAAAATCCAAGATAATCGATCATAAGCTTTGTCATGTCTAGTTTTATCACCGCATTAGGCCCAGATTTAGTTCTCAATCTAATATCCATTATTATCTCTTGAGTTAGCAACACATTCTCAACAATGCTTCTGCCTTTGACAAACCTTACTTGCTTCTCAGAGATAAGATTGGGAAGAAGATCAACCAACCTTTCATGAATCACTCTGGAAAATATTTTGTTGACGGAGTTGCTAAGACTGATAGGTCGCATATCTGAAAATGTAATCACCTCCTTCTTTTTTGGTAGTAGCACCAGATTTTGTATGAGATATAAATTTTGGTAGCTCTTGTCCATTAAAGTGCCTTAACCATCAGAACTACATCTTCTCCAATTATGTCCCAGCATTTATGGAAAAAACATCCAGTGTAGCCATCTGGAACCCCGTACTCTCAGCATTTAGCTCAAATAGAGCATGTTTAACTTCTTCATGTGTTGGCTGCCTCAATAGATCTTTGTTCTGTTCAATACTAACCATATGAGGTACATGGTCAATAATTCCATAGGAATTTATCTTCATGGAATTGTGCGCTAAAAAACTTCACAACTTCCTCCGCCATATCTTCATTATTTTCAACACAGTCACCTTCGCAATTTTGGATCCTTTTAAGCTGCAATCCTCTTCTCCTATCATTAACTTGAGAATGAAAAAACTTAGTGTTCTTATCCCCACATTTAAACCAAGTCATGCCTGACTTTTTCCTCCAGAACTCCTCTTCTAAAGCCAAGTAACGTATTAGTTCTGCCTGGACTTTGTGAAGTCTTTCTCGATTCTGTTGAGTAGGCTTTAGCTCAAACTGAGCTTCATGAACAAGGACCACTTCTTCAAGGCTCACAATCTTTTGAAATATATCCCCATATGTTGCCTTGCTCCAAATTGATAGTGTTTTCTTCAACTTCTTCATCTTGTAATTAAAGAGATAGAAAGGATTTACGTAGAAGTCAGCACTCTAGTTTTCCTTCACCACATCTATAAATGCGTCATGTTTTGTACAAAAGTTA